AACACAATTGAAAAGCTAGGCAGGTATCTTGTATTGTTTTTGGACGATAGGGTATATATAGTTAAATAGCAGTCTTGATGAAGTTATTTTTATCAAGAACAATGGCGGTCATTGTTGGTGATAACATGATATGCAATGTGTGTGAATATTTCAAATATTCATGGCTCATTTGAGAAAGTTTGATTATACTCTGCAAGATATTGTCTGGAATTGATCTTTCAACAAAAATTATTTAAAATACTGTAATCTTGATATAAAGCTTATGTCCCAAACTGAACCTTCTTGCGATTGACGTTTCATCAAATAATGCCAAGATCAATAAGATTTGGGTATTCAATAATGTCATTAAAGTTTTGCGCAGTTAATCTGAACATGGATTTTTTATTCAAAATCACCTACCAATGACGTAGTATCGTTTTCGGAAGTGTGGGGGATCCATAGAAAAAGCAACTTATATAGGAAAAATGACGAGCTAGAAACATAATTAAAAAAGAAAAATTATTATAAATTAAAAGATTTAAAAAGTTTCCATCATCCACTACTACATTACCCTATTTGACTATACTGTAACAAAAAGGTGTGGGGTAGGATGGGTTAACCTGTCATTCAATAAGCATTTTTAGTTGTAAAAAGTTATATTTGGAAAAAGATAGGGAAGGGCCAACCCCCCCCCCCCCAACCCGAACCCATCCCAACCCCCTCCCCCAATGCAACTTGCCTGCCTGGTATACCAAAGAAAATGTACAAAAACCCCTAATAAGTACACTTACTCGAACTGTTAGCTGTGACAATTGGTTCTGTTGCTGTTGTGTATGGTTCAGTTGTTGCTGATGATGTCATATAACTGTAAGCAGTTTCTTCATCAGCGAGCAAAGTGGTATTTTCTAATACAGATGAGGGCCCAGTAGGTGGTGAATCGCCACTGCTTGCAGTGGAAGCCTCGGTTGTTTCGTCGTTGTTATCTGTTGTTAATTCCTCTTGTAGGTCACTTGATTTGGTGGTAGAGGACACTGACTGAGAACTTGTGGCTGATGTGGTGAATTCTTTTATGGTTTCATCTGTGGACATTGCTGTAGAAAGCCTACTGAAAAGCCATGTTTGCAAACTCACTGGCATTGTTATTGTTTCATATTTTTCGGTGTCATTTTCGTTTGTACAAATCACAAGAACGCAACGTGCAAAAAGAGTTAAGACAAATAGAAAAGCTGATCCTCTCCGTAGCATTTTGCAAAGAACTAGTTTGTTTGAAGTCGATCACAACGTTTCACATTTTTGCAATATCTGAAAGATGAGCGAAATATTTCAAACTTTAGATATTAAAAATTAGTTTTGGAATATCCCAATGATATTATAAAAATATAATTATCGGACAAAAGTCACAAAACATATACAAGTGTTTCAATAGATGTTTTAAGGATTTTGGTATGTTTTTCACCCAAAAATTGGTTTTTAAAAAGATTAAATGATCATGATATATTTTTATGCATTAATACAAGAAAATCTTATCTTTACTAGAGAAATAATCCTGTTGAATGTGAAGAGTTTGTTCCGCCCTGCACGTGTTTTTTTTTTTCTTTTTTTTTTTTTTTTTTTTGAACCGCGCCAATACATTGAGGGTAAATAAAGTACATTTACAATCTGTAATTTTATCTCGGACAAAGACATTGAAAATGTAAATATTTACGGGTTAACCTCCTATTAGAGCATGTGGTTTTATTCTAGTTAGAATGATCTAACTGTGTCTCGGTACAAGCCCTCACCACAGTTAGAATACGTCCCATACACTTGCAATGTAGAGAATCGGAGCGGATCCGCTCCAAAACGATTTTGAAGAGTATAAAAGGATTTGCACTGGAAATAACTACCAAATTAATCAAAACAACCCTTTTTGAGATTGTTTATGCCTTTTATCCCAGAAATAATCCATCTAAAGGCGAAAATCCAATTAATTTTCTCAATGTTTTTTTCTCGCTTCAAATTTACCTGCCATGTTTACATTCGGAACTCTCTAGATTGTTCGTAATAAATGCATTGAGTTATACTGAGTACGAGTTATCGCCCATGTTTCTTTTGCTACATTACGAATACACGGAACGAATTCTATCGTTAAACTTGGTCCGTAGGACAATATCATTTTAACGATAGAACGTTCTATCTCGTTTTATTCCTACAAGAGTTTGATATGTTTTAAATTTATCAATTTACTTCTTCATATTTATTTACACTTTTTACCGAGTACCCGGGTATTCGGATATAATGACTAAAAAGGTATGCTTTTGCATCCAGAAATTACAATATCTATGGATCTTTCACCGTGTCACGCTAGTATAAGCAAAATTTGCAAAGTACTGGCACTTTGCAGTTACTGAAATCGGAATTCTCATACTGTCAATTATAAGCGTTTTGATCCAGTTTCGATTGTAAAAAGACATCTTTTTGAAAAGTAAGATTTATTAATTAATATAACGTAATTAAAATTACCTAAAAACCTCTAAATGTGCACTCTACAATATCAAACTTGAATCAATTTTACCAAACACAAAAATATATATCATATAAAAATGGTGAAAAAGAAAAATTTGACACTCAGTGGAACAGGTGGAACCAACTCTTTTTGTAATTCTCTCTACTCACACTCTTTTCCCGCTCCCCCTCTCTCCCCCTCTCTCCCCCTCTCTCTCTCTCTCTCTTTCTCCCTCCCTCTCTTTCTTTTATATGTAAAAATAAACAATTATGTCACAATGACTAATTATGAATTTTCTGATTGAAATGAATTGTGTTTAAAAAATAAATTTAAAAAAATTACCTAAAATCGTTTTCTTACATTTCTGTTGAGAGGGAGGGTAAGCGACATAACTTGTAAAGAAGGATAAAGAGATCACGAACAGTATTCAATATCAAAGTCAATAAAACAAGACAAAATAGAAGCAGAGCAAACATGGATATATATATATATATATATATATATATATATATATATATATATATATATATATATATATATATATATATATATATATATATATATATATATATCATTTGAGCTCGAATACTGTTCGTAACCTCCACATCAGTTTATCCTTGCCTAAGATGTACAAACCGAGTTTATTGGCCATGGAATGTCAATTAGAATTTTTTCCAACCCCCCCCCCCTAAATTCCATTTAATTGTGTTATGCTTTACTATAACTTATAGGTAATATATAATCCTATAACAATATTATGAAGTATAATGTATTATAAATAAGCTTGTACCTTTGTAGAGGGCTTATATAGACAATACATGCATAATCGATTTTTGTATATATTACATAAGATGCTTGTATGTTCGAATCAAGCCAGAAGAATTCGCATTAAATACACAGAAATTTTTAAGAAAAAGGTATTGTACAGTTTGTTGTTTCTTGGACGACCCTTAAAATGTGTTTGCTGATTTTGAATGTTTGCAGCCATTGAGATGAATGATAAAATCATATTATAATCAGCATCGATATAATAAGATTATAGTTTTAAAGGTACTTGGACACAGATTTGAAGATAATATTTTCTGTATAATGTCACGAATTATATATTTTAAAAGCATTTCAAACAAAAATTAATTAAAAATCTTATTTCATTTAAAAGTTATTAAAACTTTTTGGCGGGTTTGATTGACACATCCTTGCACTTTCACAGATTTTAAACTTCATTCTTAATCCTTCGGAAAAGTGGCAATCTTGTTGTTTATTAATGAGAAATATTAAAATTTATTAAGATTTATTGATACTGTCTTGCTTTATGTCCCTTTCGATTTTATTTCGCCCCTAAAAAGACGTCGCCATAAACCGACAAAGGGCTTCAAATTAATCTAGATTAATAATCAGCACTGTTATAAGTTTTTTTTTCATTCAGTATAAAAATAAATAAATTCATCTCCAAAATAAGAATTAACAATCAATTTTGTTCCTTTCCCTTATATCTCTAAAATTAAAAAAAATAATACCCATAAAATAAAAGAAAAACGCTTACCCACAACTCCTTTCTCATCTAAAGAAGATGGAAACTATCACAGCATAAAATGAAATATATATATATACCTTTGTGAATAACAAAGCTTTGATGGTTTCAGTAACGAGTTATTCTTTAAAGTAAACGACGCACAATCTTACAACACACCCGATATCCTAATTGTCAGGTTATGAAGAGTCTAAATTTAGAAGTCTTAAAAATAATTGCACAATCAAGGAAGTTTAATTTGCTTCAATGGATCTCATTTTTTAATCAAGATTGCATATAAGAATACTGAATATTTACTATTCATTTTATTCCATAATTAACACATTAATCACCAAGTTAATGGGACTTGTTTGAGAAATTTTCAAAAGTTTAAGTAAATACAACTTTAAGTTTTGAGACCTCATGTTGTCAAGCATTTCATAACAATTTATGTTTGCATATCTTCTTTCAATAGAATTACGAACATATAACATTTATAAATTATTCATTTAAATTCCTTACAAGGTGTCTTTGCCATTGAAAGGAAAATTCAGCTTTTTACAGATATGGAAAGGAGAAAAGTCTTTTTAATTGGACAAAATACATTTTTAAAGATTGGGGAAGTTTTAATGATATGAATAGAAAAAAACATTCTAAAGTTAGCAAATACATTCACTGACAATGTATTTTTTCAATACATCCTTAGTGGAGTAAACAGACGCTTTTTGGCATTGCAATTAGCCTAAAAAAGTAAATTGCGTTGAATAAAGACTTTCTTTTCTTCAATTGTTCACCGCACTCTGCGTACAATGGCATTGAAAGATACATAAGAAATAAAAAACAAACATCTTCTTATGATTTAATAGTACTTGGTTGCGACAAACAAATAGTGTTGTCTGAATCCATGTTTTTTTCTGAAATAGAAGCAAGTGTAAAATCATTATGATAATTCTCTCTCTCTCTCTCTTGAATATCAGACATATTAAAAGACAGAAAATAACCTTTAAAGCTAAACTAACCACGCCTTCTTCGAATCACAGTATCCTCCTTGACAGCTGAGTTCGTTCTTGCAGTACCTACTGCAAGTACGGTCGCTGTGAATGAGTCCATAGCACCCGTTGCCAGCCGTAACAACTTGCGCCGATGCTAGAAAATTTTAAAATGTTTTTATTCATGTCTGTTTTTAATGTGTTTTTTTTAAATTATCACATATAAATTAACAGTTTTTTATAATGCTTGAATTGATTTTAATTACAGAACAAAGGAAAGTTTGGAACACATTTAATCGAAAAAAAAATGAACTGCTCAATATCATATAAAACATACAATACTCACCAATCAAAAACACACAGACCACGATTAAAAGATAGGGCTTCATCTTGAAGTTTTGGATTTAGATCTGTGGTAAAAATATGTGAAAAAAACAGCATTGCTATGAAAAAGTTTGAATTAATTTAATGGAAAGTGCTTCAAATATTACATATGGTATTACTAGGACTGCTATAATTGAAATTAAGAATTTATAAGATAACTTTCAGAGGATATTTTAAAACAATCTTCAACTAACTTCAGATACTGGTGTTTCAGAGTTAAAAAAAAATATGAAATTTTCCAACATACCAGTAATTCTACAGGCAGTCTCAACAGTTGTATATATTCTGTTTTAGGCTGAAAAAGACAAATTATAACAGGGTAAATATACACATTTTATATTCTCTTTTGGTGGCAGATGTCATTAATTTGCATTTTGCCAAAAAAGGTGTAGTCTTCGATCATTTGATGTAAGACTGTCAAAATACTTCATAAATCACTTCTCCATGGCACCTGTTCCCACCTATGATATTTTGGAGGTTCGAATTTGCTCTGCTCCTATTTTGTATTGTTTTATGGACTTTTGATCTTGAATACTGTTTGTTATCTCCATATGTTTCATTCTGACAGAAAAAGTGCCCTAAAAATATTCTTTGCCTGATAGCAGATTTTGAAACAGAAGATGTTGATTGATTGTATGTTGTTTGACGTTTGAAAAATTTTCACTCATTCAAAAAATATGGGTTACACAATAATGGATGAATAATTTGCAATCAGGTTAGAAACGCAGTTTTAATTTATTTTACGCAGTTTAGTAAATTGATTCCTAAAACAGTCGCAATTTAACGTTTACCGTTCACGGTAGCCTAGTGGTAGAGCGTTCGCTTCGTGATCGGGAGGCCCGTCAAACCTTAGACGTAATCAAAGTACTGAAAGTACTGAAAAGCGGTTAGCATGCTTTCATCGAATATGTACAGTGTACAATAACAAAAAATGCATTGAATCATGATATTAAAGTAGGCATGCATATCTTTTTCCAGTGTCATCGACGAAGAAGCAGACACACTGAATTTTGTAGTACTTAACTAAATGGTATAACCAATAACATCCCAGACTGATGTCACAAATTTTTGTTTCAAAATATCAACCTGAGATTTTCAGTTTGAAAGACAGGAAGTTCAATTTCAAAAATTTCTCCCTAATTGTCTCCATTGTTGGCGTCCAAAAGTGCTCAGAACGAAAAAAAAAATTATGTTGATGTTGCAAATTTAATTGGCTTTCATGCTCTATTGATTCTGAAATTAGGTAACTGTAAAGGCTACTATAGCAAACAACTCAAAAAGAAAATAAAATGATAATTCAAATTCTTTAGATTAATTGATTTGGAGTACTGTACATAGATCTTTAGCTGGCTAGTCTAAGAAAAATGGATGGACGAGCAGAGAATTAATTAATTTCAGAGAGCTTCAGTTTCGTAGGCTCACTGCGGGTCAGCAATGTGTGACCTGTCATTGGGGATGCTTACTTCTCCTAGGCACCGGAACTTTCAAGGATCCGTTTTTCTTTTGAGACCGATCACTGTTCATTCTGTATTTTGATACAGATACTGAGTACATCTGTTTATTAATATTATGAACTATTTCTCTCACAGGAAGAAAGACAAGTAAACAAGATAATAAAGTTTTAAGAAATGTACATTATTGACTTTTCATACAATTAAATGTTCGAATAAGTAAATGGTATATGACAATTATTTAAAAAAGAGTCTTGCACGATATGTATAAACGAACATATACTGAGTATTTGGCAAATATTTTTCATGAAATATTGTAAAAAAAAAAAAAAAAAAAAAAACGTGTGAAAAGGAAAGTTGTTGTTTAATTCATCAATACTAGTATTTTAAAAATTCAAAGGTTCACTAGAAGTCAGTGTATAACAAACAATTTAATTGTCCATTGCAAGAATTACCTAGGTATCATTGTCACTTTCTTCAATATGTCGCATAAGCAATACATTGTTTTTTGGTTTTTTTTAGTAAAAACAAGTATGCGAATTTCTATCAATATGTCTGTAAGCATCTGTATTTTAATTTTTATTTTTTCTCAAAGGCTCAAAATGATAATTAACGAATTGGACAAATTCAAATTTAAAAAGTATTTTTACAACATATACCTTGCATAGGAATTTAGCAAACTTTCAAAAGTAATCATTCATTAGATATAATTTTCAATTTGTGCTTATCGTCAAGATTTTTCATGCCTCTTTTTTCTGTGCATATTTTATATCGGCTGATTTTTAGAAAAGGATCGAATGCCGATTAAATTTTTTTCTCCAATTTTTAAAAATTAATTTTAGTATTTTCAGGCTCCCATTATTTTTTTAAAAATAAAAATGTGATCGTTTAAAATCGTTTGTAATAATTAGACTGAGTACAGAATTTATCCCTGGAAACAAAGCTTTTATCATCTTTTAAATAATTTCAATTGAGAAAAAAAGGAGAAGAAAAACGTTTCATTATGAAAGTAATCCATAACTGTACAACTTACAGATGTATTCAGTATTTTTATATAAAGGCTTTCTTCGTGTACTAGTATTACTTAAGTTAATTAAAGGGATGCCTAAATATTTTGGAAAATGAAACTCGATCGAGAGATTCTCCGATGTTTTGCAGTCGGTAATAACCTTCAACCCCTTTAGCCAGTAATTAACCCGTCCTCCCTGTGCCCAGTAGCATAATTCGGTCAAATATTTATTGTTCATGAGGGATACCTTATAATTAATCACAGGCACCTGAATTTTTACCAGTAAGTCTCTAAATTAGCCAAATATCGAAACATTCTACCCCCTCTATATATAAATACACAAGGTGTCCAACGCCATTTTGACCACCTGTTCGATTCAGGCTTCATTTAACACATAAATCGGAAATGCCTACTGGTTTTCGTGTAACATTGGGTTGAAATATGATATTTCTCGCTATACATTTCTTCCTAAAGTTTAAATCTAACGCGTTGATAATGTTATCAGCTAAACTTCATGCTGACTTCGAATTTCGTCACAGGGCCCGATCGCCATCAGCTGATGTCACGGAAATTTAATCTCGACACCAAATGCTCCTATACATAAACTTTTTTTAATACAACATTTATAAATTTATTTCATTGACAAACAAAATCAGAAAAAAATTAAAAAACCGAAAGATTATGTTGTTTTGATAGTCTTGATTTTATTTAACATATGTTCTATGTGTTAGAAACAAATCATAGGTACTAGGTAGAGGCTTTGTTGAAGTTTCCGTTGTCGATAGGTAGCGCCTTATGGAAGTTTCCGGTGTCGATAAAAATCGGACACATGCCATAAAGCGGTTAGCGAAGCTAACCGCTTAAAAATAGGTAGTGACTGTTTCTTCGCCAAGCGCTCGGCATCAGAAGTGAAAGTCACGGGTCTTTCGGATATGACCTTAAAACGTAGGTCCCGTGTCACGGTATAGCCGTTAGCACGTTAAAGAACCCTCACTGTTCAATGGCCCTGAGTACCGAGTATAGGTCTAAATTTGAAGTCTCCATATGATTGAAAAATTATCGAGAGGGACGTTAAACAATACACAATCAATCAATAAAACATCCCAACCTTTGGGACTGTAATTTCCAGTGTGGGGTACTAGTGATAACCTTCCATTTCTAATTATGTCGATCCTACCTATGATGTACCTAAATCATTTAAGAAAGGAAACATCGAAGAATCCTATTTCGGGAACTGGAATATTCAGAGTGGGACGTTGTCTATAAAATACCACCACTTTAAGTTAATAATTATTGTATCGTCTCTAGTTTTGGAGACCTGCGCCTCAACGTTTTTTCTGCGAAAGGTATCATATTCAGTCACGCATTGCCAAGAACAAAAAAAAAATTTGAAACTTGCTTGAAAATAAAAAAAATTTGCCAATAAAGTTGAATATTTGAAGTATCATTTTTTTTAAATTGTTAAAGTCTTAGAGGCTTGTTGTAGTGATTGGTTTTTTGTTGTTCTTTTGTCACGCGGAGGGACTCGTTTTTGAGACGTCCGACAGAGTGTAATGCTATGCAAATTTTTGTCCATTCTGAATATTGATCTCTGGATCCAGATTGTTTATTTATGATGTTTAAGATATCTGCAAGATTCGCATGTCTTTTTCTTTGCTTTGTCATAATGTGGGTTACTAAAGATAGAAAGTATTACCAGGTATTTTTCCAAATTCTATTACTGGTCTCTAGTCTCTAGTAAAATGGACATTGGTTTTGTGGATATCCATCAACCTAGTATTCCAGTGCACATTTGTAAGCGAATTGGAGATAGTAACACTGTATTGCTGGCTTACACAGTGACCCCATTGTCACTAGCACGGCATCATTACTAATATTTCTCCGATTATTGTCTCAGAAAGTCAAGATGATAATAAACATATGTAATTTATTGGTATATATCATCTCGAAATATATTTACAAACTTAACTTAATTATATTAATTAGCTCTTTTAGATATTTTAAATATGCAGTTATCACGATTTCATATAGATATCGTATAAAATGGATTGCCTAGGTCACAAGGACTTGTGTCAAAAACGTATCAATCCGCCTGAAATTACATTCAAATTTTGTACAAATTTAAGTCTTTTTGTTACAACAATAATCTTTTTTCTAACATCAAATGAATGAAAATTAAATAATAAGGAATGAATTTAATAGCTACCCATTTTATACGATATAAACTCGGTTGGAACAGTTTACGTTTTTTTATAAACCGTTTAATACGTTTTTATACTGTCAAACGTCTCTTTAAAACCGTGTAAATAACCCCCACAGCAATGCCAATCAATTTTGCTATGTGTCTTACAGTTAATCAAACATCATCAGTGATAATTTGTTGAATTTTGGAAAATAGGACATTTTTTGTTGTAAGTCCTCGTCGCCAAGAACGGTAGTCATTTAGATGCCCATAATATCATTTTTGTTCATTGAAATTGAAATTCACCTGCTTATGTGTCTACATAGAGACATTGATTGCGATAAATATCACATATTTTAGTGAATTTTGGGGGATTCTTAACGTGTTTACAGCAGCTTTCATAACGCTTTTAACTGCACTGTAGCTTACTGATTCTTTACCATTCATTTTTGATGTATTGTCTCGAATACGCCTTATTTTCCAGATTCTCACAACGAACCTATTTGATGAAAATTGTCCCATCAACTGTCATTAATTCATTAATGATTCAATCATGAAAGAAAGTAAACTAAATGCCATATGATTTCTATGTTGTATGTAATAGAGCTCAGGAAATCATTTATTAAAGAACCCACGTATATCTTGTGTGAAAGTTTTATTTTATACATTTTAAAATAAGGTTGTCTGTGCACAGATATTTGTATCAGATATATTTTTAACCCATCGTATGATGATAACACGTGTTATTAGGCAATTAGAAGTTGGACGGTTATTCGCTATTCGCCATTCGAATCTGTCTGCCGGTTCGCTATTCAAATTACCGTAAATGTCCTAACAATTTTTTTTTTTCAAAAAACCTTAATAACGCATTATAATCCGTGTTTAAAAAAACTCGTGAAATACTAAATAGTATATTATAAGTATTTCTACATAAGAGTAAATTACCCGGGTGCAGGCTAAGATCCTGGATCCCATATTTAGACTCTTATATTTTTACAAGGGAGGAGTATGGGAGAGACCTTTCAAACCTCAAAAGAAATTTATGTTACAAGACCGGACACCGGGAACCCATTTAGCTAGCCCGGATGAAATTGGGAAAAAAAGCCTTATAATTCTATTATATGTATTTCTGAATAAGAGTACATTGCCCGGGGGGCTGGCTAACATCCAAGATACCCATATTTAGACCTTGATAATTTTACAGGGGAGGGGTATGAAAAGGACCCTTCTACTGTCAAAGGGAGTTTATGTTACAAGACCTGGAACCCATTTATCTAGCCCGGATGAAATTGGAAAAAATCGTATAATTCTATTATATGTATTTCTGAATAAAAGTACATTGCCCGGGGGTCTGGCTAACATCCTGGATCCCATATTTAAACCTTGATATTTTTACAGGGGAGGGGTAAGGAAAGGACCCTTCTACTGTCAAAGGGAGTTTTTGTTACAATACCTGGAATCCATTTAGCTAGACCGGATGAAATTGGAAAAAAACGTATAATTCTATTATATGTATTTCTGAATAAAAGTACATTGCCCGGGGGTCTGGCTAACATCCTGGATCCCATATTTAGACCTTGATATTTTTACAGGGGTGTGGTATGGAGGGGACCCTTCTACTGTCAAAGGGAATTTATTTTACAAGACCGGGAACCCATTAAGCTAGCCCGGAGAATATTGGAAAAAAGCCTCATAATTCTATTATATGTATTTCTGAATAAGAGTACATTGCCCGGGGGTCTGGCTAACATCCTGGATCCCATATTTAGACCTTCATATTTTTACAGGGGAGGGGTATGGGAGGGACCTTCTACTGTCAAAGGGAATTTATTTTACAAGACGGGGAACCCATTTAGCTAGCCCGGGGAAAATTGGAAAAAAAACGTTTAATTCTATTATATTTTTACAAGGGAGGAGTATGGGAGAGACCTTTCAAACCTCAAAAGAAATTTATGTTACAAGACCGGACACCTAATTAGCTAGCCCGATCAAAATTGGAAAAAACGTAAAATACTATAATTATAAGAGTACATTGCCCGGCGGCTGGCTAACATCCAAGATCCCATATTTAGACCTTGATATTTTTACAGGGGTGGGGTATGGAAAGGACCCTTCCACTGTGAAAAGGAATTTATGTTACAAGACCGGGAACGCATTTAGTTAGCCCGGAGAATATTGGGAAAAAAACGTAAAATTCTATTATATGTATTTCTGAATAAGAGTACATTGCCCGGGGGTCTGGCTAACATCCTGGATCCCATATTTAGACCTTCATATTTTTACAGGGGAGGGGTATGGGAGGGACCCTCCTACGGACAAAGGGAATTTATTTTACAAGACCGGGAACCCATTTAGCTAGCCCGAAGAAAATTGGAAAAAAAAAGTATAATTCTATTATATGTATACAAGGGAGGAGTATGGAAGAGACCTTTCAAACCTCAAAAGAAATTTATGTTACAAGACCGGACACCTAATTAGCTAGCCCGATCAAAATTGGAAAAAACGTTAAATACTATAATTATAAGAGTACATTGCCCCGGGGGCTAGCTAACATCCAAGATCCCATATTTAGACCTTCATATTTTTACAGGGGAGGGGTATGGGAGGGACCCTTCCACTTTAAAAGGAATTTATGTTACAAGACCGGGAACCCATTTAGCTAGCCCGGATGAAATTGGGAAAAAAAGCCTTATAATTCTATTATATGTATTTCTGAATAAGAGTACATTGCCCGGGGGTCTGGCTAACATCCTGGATCCCATATTTAGACCTTCATATTTTTACAGGGGAGGGGTATGAGAGGGAACTTTTGACTATCAAAAGCTATTTATATTACAAGACCGGGAACCTTTTTATAAATTAGCTTGCCCGGATAAAATTGGAAGAAATACGTCAATGAGATTTTAGAACGCAGTTTGCACTTTGAGGGTGGGGTACAAGGGTTCAGTTACGACTTCTGTGAAATATTGGTGATGGAACCATCTCTAGTTTCCAAGATAGAGCCCTCAAGTTTTCAGCCCTACTATACTATACGAATGTAATGGTTTGGGCTGTGGATATCGGCCTGGATAGCTCAGTTGGTAGAGAACCTGACTGGAGATGCAGGGGTCCCGGGTTCGATTTCCGGTCCAGCCATACATTTTCTCCTTTCCTGTTACAGATTTAGTGCCGTTGACCACCCCTGGAATTGCAGGTGAAAGTCCTGCCAGGGGCAATAGGAACTTGGGTTGTGTTTTCGAGGGCGAAGACCATTTAAGGAAGGAGGAATGTAATGGTTTGAACCGTGGATATCGGCCTGGATAGCTCAGTAGGTAGTGCACCTGACTAGGGATACAGGGGTCCCGGGTTCGATTCCCGGTCCAGCCATACATTTTTTCCTTTCCTGTTACAGATTTGGTGCCGTTGACCACCCCTGGAATTGGAGGTGAAAGTCCTGCCAGGGGCAATAAGAACTTGGGTTGTGTCTTCGAGGGCGAAGACAATTTAAGGAGGGAGGAATGTAAGTAGTATAAGCATTCCCGCTAGGGGAAGATTCTGATTGGCTGAGAGAAATCACATGATCAATTTTGATTGGTGGAGGGGAAAGGGGGTCAACTGAGTGCAGTTCTAACCCTAACCCCCTAACCCTAACCCTAACCCTAACTAACCCTAACCCTAACCCCTGGCCCTAACTAACCCTAACCCTAACCCCCTAACCCTAACCCTAACCCTAACTAACCCTAACCCCTAACTATCCCTAACCCCCTAACCTAACCCTAACTAACCCTTACCCCTAGCCCTAACCCTAACCCTAACCCCTAACCCCCTAACCCTTATCCCTAGCCCTAACTAACCCTAACCCTAACCCTAACTAACCCTAACTAACTGTATCCCTAGCCCTAACTAACCCTAACCCCCTAACCCTAATAACCCTAGCCCTCCCCTAGCCCTAACTAACCCTATCCTCCCCTTAGCCCCTTTTTAACCCTAACCTATCCCCTTAAATACTGGAGTTGTTTACACTGTGTTTATACTATACGTAGGTACTACGTTTTGTTTATGGACACAGGTAAATGCGGCGTGTGCAAAACATTACAAGAATGTGATTATGACGTCACGCTTCACAGTCTAGACAGCCCTATAACCGGTTCAAACTGGATTTTTACTGAAAACAATAACAACCTGGATTTTTACTGAAAACAAGAACACAGATTTTGATTTTTATTCAATTTTTATTCACAATGAAAAAAAAATACATACAATTTACATTTTCTGTTTCTTCTTCTGTCCCTTCTCACTGGTCCGGGGTAGTTTCCTCTTGTGTGTTCTGGGTGGACACTCCTCTATTTTTCTCCTTTTTGTACTTTTTTCACTAACTAGTCTGTCTCCCTTTCTAAATTACTTATCTTTTCCATCACTTTTTTCACTAACTGGTCTGTCTCCCTTCCTAAATGACTAATCTTTTCCATCACTTCTTTCTCTAACTGGTCTATCTTTTCCATCACTTCTTTCTCAAACTGGTCTATCTCCCTTTCTAGATCACTAATCTCTGTCAGCGCTTCTTTCTTTTTATTTAGGATAAGGCACAAATGACTTCTTTCATCTAGATCTAAAAGATCCTGTGTTTCTGGTACTGTCTCCTTTGTATTTTCCTCTGCCATATTTTACTTCTGTCGAGTTAAAAGTAATCACACAGAATGATCCTCATTGTACAGCTCTGGTTTATATATATAGCATGGATTTATTTTAGGGCCGTGTGCAAAAAATACTTTTTACCTACGTTTTCTTATATATATATATACCTGTTTGCATCACCTGTAAAGTGCCGTGTGCAAAAACATAAGGGTCGTGTGCAAAAAATACCTTTTACCTTGTTTGCATCATCTGTAAAGTGCCGTGTGCAAAAAGTACGATAAACTTACCTATGCATTGTGACGTCATTCACTGTATAAATACAATGTGATTATGACGTCACACTTTTTCATTTACAGTCTAGACAGCCTAGTCTAGCCAGCCTAACCGGTTTGAACTGATTTTTTTACTGAAAGACAATAACAAATAACACACAATACAAAAAACATGTGTGTGTTATGTCTGTCAAGTTATAACACCAGGTCATTTTTTTAAAAAACTTAGAATTTCTTTTTAAATTTTTTAAACTTTTTTTTAAAAAACATAAATTTTTTTTTAACTTTTTAAAAATAACTTTAATGTTTTTTTCTTATTAATTTTTTTTTTTGGTAAACTCCCCTTATAGTTTTTAAGAAATAAAATAAAAAAAATCATGTAATACTACATCAGTGTTATGTTATTGTATGACTTCATCTTTTATACAGTCGGGTTCGGGGTTTCGGGCAGCCATGGCGAATTTTCGGCAGGATTTTACCCCAGTGAAAAAGGCTTGTAATTTACCCTGTAGGTCTTTTAAAGTTGTTTCACATTGTTTATGATTGTGATTATGTTATCGCTCACCTATATGTTTAATGTCAGCTATGCTAAATAACCCATTTCTGTGTAATTTGAGAGAATGTTTTGACATGTGGTTAAAGTATGGCGTGCTATTCATGTTATCATTTAAAAAGTCGATCCTAAATAAATCTGTCTTAAAAAATACATTTTACGAATGACATTTAATATAGTGTTAAATCTAAAGCAAACTAGCATGGCGCGGCGCCATGCCCTTTTTTCTCAGCGCCATGCCCTTTTTTCCTGCGCCATGCCCTTTTTTCCAAAAATAAATTCAAAATTTCCGCCATTTTCTCGTTAAATATTGTTATACGGGCACTTTTTGGTCGATATACGGGCACTTGTTGATCTATACGGGCACCTCTTACCTACATACGGGCACTTTTAATAACTATCAACAGAGACGCCATATTGAATTTTTTGTATTGACCCAATTTTAAAGACGACAATGCCGACTTCAGAGAGGTCCAAACGCAAGCGAATCGAAGAAAACGAGAAGCAAGCAAGGCAATGCAGACGGCTGTTCCAATTCTTCGGCAGGTATATTCTTGAAAATTGTTAATCATACATTGTTTCACGAAACAACTAACGTTATACAAACGATCAGCTGATCGGGATGACCTAAATTAAGTCGAAGAAAAGATGCACTGTTGGTTTCCAAAATGATTTGAAATTTTAATAATTATAATTGATTAAGGTTTACACACAACCGTGATTCTGTTTCAGTTTATATTTTTGATAAATGATAAATTCCTTGCACTAGGTCTACAAGTACTACAAGTACAATCAGCTGGTCGAGGTCAATGTTCAAAGTTCAAGAGTTCATTATCATGATTATTGAAACGACTATTTCAAGATGATATTTTTAATAATCTACATATATTTATACATATGATAAACACTGCATTATTTGTCTTAATTATTTGTAGTTATACTATAATCTATATTTATATTATAATATTACACCATGTCATTGTGAATAAATATGGTAATTTAGATTGAGAAGAGTTACAGAAAAGGTAAAAGATATGTTATTAACAACTGTTATAAGTGATTATGATTAATGAATGTGTGTTGAAATAAAGATTGGGAACAACAAAGGTGTCAATTAGCACCCAAGTCCCGGAGTGTATGTTAATAAAATTAGAGATATCCCAGCAAATAGCGAGATATCTCAAATGTGTGAAAGTCGAATGTTTTTAGGTATATAGAATTACTCAATCCATATCCAAGACAATACGGAACCTGCTAACAAAGCTTTTCACTCAGAATAATTATGTCCCCCCTCAAAGAAGAGAGGGCATATTGCTTTGCTGCTTTTGGTTGATCTGTCCATCATCAATTTTCGTTCATTTGCTTCAACAATAGACCCTTTTCCTATGACATTTCGCTACTCATAAGAAAAATAGTGTTATCTTTAAGTTTACCTCAGTAACTAGTTTAACAAACTGAACTTCTTGAAGGGATCTAGGAATATTTCCCTAGGCTACAATATGATGGCTAAGGGGAAAAACTCTTAAGCGAAAGATTCATAGGAAAAAGGGTCTATTGCAGAGTTCAGGTGGCACGTATTGAAATGAAATTTGGTGTACAATTTTATCAAAAGAATATTGATGTCATTTTCAGTTTTGGGCATGATCAAGGGATTATGAATAGAGCATTAATTGCACCAGTTGAGTCTTATTATTATGTTTCATGATGTCACAATTATTTATTCACAATAACATGGTATACCGTATAAAATTATGTAATTACATGATTCAGTTTGTCACACTATTAGTATTAGATACCATATTACTGAGGGCAACATATAATATAGTTATGCAGTTTTAAGACAAAAAAAATTAATGAATTTTTAAAATATTTCAGGCCAGAATCACCATCCCTCTCAAGAGCTGATGAATCCCAGGAGGAGGAGATGTGTTGTTCACCAATGCCACTGCCAGACATCGATCTTCTAGATTCAACTGCAGAGCCAAGCACCCCTTTAGAGTCTAGGACAGAGTCAAGTGCCCTCCCTAACCTTCACGATTCCAGGACCCATGCTACATCTAGCCCAGTGACTGACCGTACCAGAAACAACTCGGGACACAAGATGAACTTTGACCCTAATTGGCAGATCAACCGACCCTGGCTCATCAATGAAGTGGAGTACAGCAGTGATGGTTTTTCCTTTGATGCTATGTACTGCAGCCTCTGCCGTAAAATGGGACACCAAAGGCCGTAACAACAGCAAGGTCTGGAATACTACAGGTTGCGTTTCCACCCGCCTAGATGTTGTCACCAAGCACGAGTCATCTGAGATGCACAAAGATGCAGTGTTCAAAGAGATGGCAATGGACAAAGGCATTGAGGCAGCATTTGAGACCATGAACAAGAAAGAAATCCAGGCCTTAAAGGATGCCCAGAAAGTCTTGTACTTCCTGATCCAGCATAATCTACCATACCTGACCCTGTACGAGCCATTGATGGATCTGTGCATCGCACTAGGAGCCACAAATCTCCAACATCTGCCCAACACAAAGAATGCAACTTACAGAAGTGCGGCCACAGCCACAGAGTTCCTCGACTGCCAGGCAGAAGTTGTTGAGACCAGAGTGTCTGAAAGTATTAAGACAAGCGAGTCCTATGGTTTGATGGTGGACGAGTACACGGACATCAGTGCCAGGAAACATTTGGCCATGGTGTGCAGATTTGTCGACAACGGAGCATCCAGGCTGGCATTTCTCCAGGATGTTAAACTTTCAAATGGGGAAGCTGAGACCATTTACTCCGCAATGAAGGGTTATCTCGCCTCCAAGGAAATACCCCTGCAATAGATGACATCCTTTGCCAGTGATGGGCCTGCAGTAATGGTGGGGAAGAGAATGGGGTGGTTGCCAAACTTCAACATGACAACCCAGAAGTTCTGCATCTTCATTGCATGAATCATCGACTGCAGCTTGCTGTATCAAAGGCCTTCAAGTCCATCCCCATGATAAGCAACACAGATGAGCTGCTCACAGCACTTTTTAAGTACTACCATTACAGCACAGTCCGTTCAGAGAGCTTGCAGGCCATTCAGAATTTGATGAGGGAGACGGGAGAGTTAGAAAACCAAAACAACATCACGGTGAAGAGGGCTGTACACACAAGATGGTTAAGTCATGAGGCAGCTGTTCAGACTGTTAGGAAGTTGTATGCACCCATACTGACTGATCTTGAAAATGCAGTTGCCTCAGGACGGTATAAAGTCATTAGAGATGGAAAGGGAACCCCAGCAAGCAGCCTCCTTAAGATGCTAAAAAACTACGACAAGCTGTACTTTATCCATCTCCTCTGTGACATTTGCACATCCTTGGCCTCCCTTACCAGGACATTCGAAAGGGAAGATGTGGATCTTTCAATTATTGAACCGAGGGTAACAGCAACGCTTTCAACCCTTAGGAAAATGAAAGAGAGAGACCCTCCCTTTACAAGCAAAGTTCCATCTGTTGCACAGAGTTTGGGAATTTCGACCAAGGATGACACTCACCAGACAATTCAGGCAGCCAAAAACCAGTTCATCGACAACCTGACGAGCAACATTGAGGACAGACTGGAGAATTCCTCCCTGATTGACAGCCTTTCTGTTCTCAACCTCAGTGCAGTTGACCCAAACAACCTTGCTTTCTATGGGGATGCAGCTCTTTCCTCCCTAGCAAACCACTTCAACCTGGACGAGGAACTCACATTACATGAATGGAGTGAAATGAAAGAGTTTTTTAGGAGCAACCTGGAGGTGTGCACCCCAAAGTACTTGCTAGACACCCTGACCAAGGCAAGAGCAACAACTGGAGAAATGTTTCCAAACATCAGGAGGCTGTTGGCTATTGCAGAGTCCCTGATCATCTCCACTTCTGCAGTAGAGAGGGTTTTCAGCAGAGTGAAGCTCACAGTAACCACTCACAGGAACCGTTTATCTGTAAACACTGTCAGTAAGCTGTTGACTGTGGGCCTCAACACCAACTCAGTTGAAGACCTAGACCTGGAAAAGGTTGTGAAACTCTATCTGAGTAAGAAAAATAGAAGAATCCTCAGAGTCCAGCCTTCAAGTTCCAAGTGAATCTGTGCCTGAATAAGATGTGACAGTTAGTTCTTATTTACAGTGAGAAAAGAAACTCTTGTCAGTTGTGATATATGTTCTTAAAGTTGACAGTTTTTAAAAAGATTTTATTGATATTTTATTTTATGACATGTGACCTATTTATTTTGTTTTCTGAAAAATATTTAAAACTAGTCTACTTGGTTTTTAGATTTGTGCAAATACTCTATGTCTTTCAAAGTTAACACATGCATAATATGTATTGATTATCTACCTCATTTGAAATGAAATGTGATATTTTTAAAAATGTATTTATTTATAACATGCCTGATTATTTATTAACTACTCTGAATTGTCCTTCAAGTATTTTCTTATCTAGGTAATAGTATCTAAGTGACAAAGACATTTTATCATTATTTAAGATAATGTATAGTAATAGTAGCTAGTATGAATTGAAGTGTCTCTCTTTTATAATGTTATGATGCATTATTTATTTATTTTTTTTTTGGTTTTAATAATTTAATAGTAGCTAGAATGAATTGAAGTGTCTTTCTATATTATAAATGTTAAGATGCATAGTTTATTTAATTGTAATGAAATAAGTCAAATTCATCATGTTCATATGTGCCATTTTTCATAAATTATAAATATATTGTCTCTGTTGAAATATGCAATGTTAAAAAAAATATAGATTTAATAAAATCATTGTGAATGAACACTTCTGTTTTCTCATTTCACAAGGTTGAAAAGTTGAAAAAAGGGAGCAACATGTTTTAACTTGTTAAAAGGATAAAGGATTATTTATTATACTACGATACAATAAAAGTGCCCTGAGATTGCCTTGCCGCGACGGAAAGTGCCCTTTTTAGCATATCAAATGTGTGCCCTTCTCAGATCCTGGATTTAACACTATAATATGATTGATTAGAGTATAGGTATCCATATATAAGAGATATTATTTTGCATTACATTTAAACATGTTTTTCTGTCCTGTTTGTCTGTCAATTGTTGCTTTACTTCCTTTGTAAAATGAGGTTAAATTGAGTATCACTGAATATTGTATGCTTTTTTTTCAGGATCAGCTAAGATGTTATTTCACTGGATTATTTAATGGATAGACTTATTGGGCATATATTTGGATATCTCTGGTAAGTTTGTCTTTGTTTTGTTTACATTTTCCTATGAAGGTCATCTTTGCATTTAACCATGATTTATATGTAAAGTTCTATTTTGAATGTAAATGCTGTATTTATCCTCATTTCATGTGATTTACAGTTGTATAACCTGCATGTAGCTCAGAGTGCATTTAATATTTCTATGATGGATCATTCTTTGATTGAATTTAAATCAGAAAAATATTCACTAAATTTTGATAAAATACATATGGTATCTTTTACATTTCTGTCCCTTTTATCTGTCAATTATTGTTTTACTTACATTGTAAAATGAGGTTAATTGTGTATCACTGAATATTGTATGATTTTTTTCAGGATCAGCTAAGATGTTATTTCACTGGATTATTTAATTGGGCATATAATTGGATATCTCTGGTAAGTTTGTCTTTGTTTTGTTTACATTTTCCTATGAAGGTCATCTTTGCATTTAAGGTCAAGATCTAGTAAATGACTTTAGAATAACTTTTCAGTGCTAAATCCATTATGACGTCATAATCACTTTCAACTTTCTTTTTCCCGTACTTTACGGCTCTAATAGAACTATGTAGAAAATAAAGTATTTCCATGGAATTCAATTTGAAATCACATGAAAAGTAGTCCCGATACCTATCTTAAATTTGACATTATTTTAAAGTAGAGACTAAGAACATACAAATTACCGTTTTCTGAAAAACTGTAGGCAATCTGGATACATTTTCTTTGCCTGATATGGAAAAAACTCCTGTTTTCAAAACTGGTTTTCTTAATTTTTCATTGAAAATGACAGTGTAAAATATGGTTTTTCATCTTGTTTTTCTACAAATTATGCCCCGAAACATCTATTTTGACCAAGCTAATATTATAAAGCATCATTAAAGGAATTAGTTTCTTAAATTTGAAAAATCTGTAGACACCTTCCATTTACTAGATCTTGACCTTAAGCATGATTATATGGTTTAATTTAATTACTGTGTAATTCTTATGTGATCTCATATCTCTAACATTCATATAAGCACAGTCTTATTTTGGCTAAAATATGCTAAGGAAACTTCATATTGTTAATAAGTCCTTTTGCATAAATTATGATATAATGTCATAATTCATTATGTCTGTTACCCATGGAATTCAGACTTACTAAATTGTGATCTATAAGGAATGTAATAAAAGAAAAAGTAAGAATCTACAAAAGGTTTATCCTTGTTTTGATTCTAAATATGTGCTATATATGGCATACATAATCATTTCATTTTCACTTTTGTTTCTTATTAATGAGCTTTTCAAAAAATGTAGGACTACATGTTGTATATGCTAATATCTTTTTGTATGCTGTACTGACAGGTATTAAACAAAATTGAATCTGCTGTTAAGAGAAAGTCTGTTAGTGTCTAAAAATTACACTGATAATCATTTTGTATTTGTGATATTAATACAATAACTGTGCTTCTTTTGTTATC